CAAAAAGTTTGGGTGCACACTTGAATTTGTTACCAACAAATCTCAAGAAGGATCTCAGTTTTGCAGAGGATTTGGTGGCATTGGTGGCATGTTGCGCTACCAACTGGACATCCGTTCTTTTGATGAGCTTTCTGATGACGAGGGTGTCTATGAAGACTCTGATTAAGCAAACATCATTCATATGGCTGTGCTGGACCCTGGATTGATGCAATTGCTAGTTTTGTTCTTCCAAATTTTGCTTGGTTATTCAGTTTTTGAGGAGAGTACTACTTAAGACACTTGCTTTGTTTCCTCTGCCGCAGCTTACAATTGCAATGCCAAGCACATCGTTGCAATCTGGTTGATACTTCATGTCCTGTTGTTATGTAGACATTGGCTCTGTCCAAGGTTTGATTTTAGCAAATGCTCCAGTGACAGTATTGCAAATGCATCTATTTAAGTTTCATGTGTTGCACTTCTTTGGCGACCATGGTTGTTACTGATGCATGGTGTAACAAATCATCTACATGTTTCCACAAAGTTCGCTATTTTTTTTTTTTTGGAGTTGGGTCATGCTAGCTTGTTTTCCTTTTGAATTTTGCTACATTCGGACTCTGATCGATTCAGCACCATCTTAGTCATAGCACGATTAAACTGGCTTCAAGTGTCTTCTAATTCATGTATGTACCATTAAAATGCTCTACATTATACAAAAGATTCAAGTTTGAATTCTACATGCATGCGTGAGCATGGATCATTTCTTCGGCAATGCTTTCTCCCATCCCCCGCAGGAATCGTCGCAGCAGCTCTCCTCGCCTATGACCCTGTTGATCGTCCTCCCAACGCAGCTCGCCGACGAGCATCCGCTGTCCCTGGCGTTGTCGAAGTCCGGCACAAACCCCATGAAGATGGGCGGCTGCACGTCGAGCTCCCCGTTCGTCTGGTACACCTTCTCGACGCCGCCATCCTTGCGGAACCTGACGGTGCAGCCCCCGATCTGCTGGGAGCAGAAGAGGTTGTCGTGGCCCGGGTTCTCGAACACCCGCACGCCGTGCGCCCAGCACCGGTTGGCGCCGCGGTAGGAGCAGAGCACCTCGAACACCTCGTCGCCGTGCACGGCGGGGAACGTGAGGTTGGCCTCCGCGCCGCTGGGGATGTCGGCGCGCGCCGACCACGCCGACCGGTTGTGGTTGTGCTCGCTGAAGCCGTAGCACCGCAGCTCCACGTTGCCGTCGGCCAGGTCCATCTCCTCGCCGACCTCCTGCTCGTTGCTCACCACGATGAGGCGGAGCACCTCGGTGGACACGAAGGGCGACGGCCGGTGGCGGCACTGGTAGTGGAAGAAGGAGCTGAGCGCGACCGCGGCGACTATGGCGACGGCGAGCGCGGCGAACTTGACGGGCGCCGTGGCCATGGCGGTGGCGATGCGACGGCGGTGGCGGTGGCGTGCGGAAGGTGCGTGGGGGGATTGCGGGGACGATCGAGATGAGGTACGTGTCTGGTGGAGGTCGGCATGCAAAATGGCGCGCGTGTGGCCGATGCATGTTTCGAAGATGGCTTTGGCTGAGGTTTGCCGAGGAAGGCAAACTTAGACAGCGGACGGAGAGGAATGAGCTTCTTCTCTTTGTTGCAGTTTAGGACGGGCGCCCGCCGCCCCCTAATTTTGGGGTGTTACTGGACTGACTGCGTTTGCCATGACCATGATGGGTCGTTAATCAGCTCGTTTTCGAGGTTATTAGGGATAAAAATGATCTAGGAGTTCAAATGACCAGGGAGATCTAGTGTTGTGCCGATCGTACGTGCATCTTCTTGCCACCCGTCAGCAAAGCAGCTGTCAGCATGGAGGAAGCACGCCTCTCGCAGAAGCAGCAGGCAGCAGCTCCCGCGCGGCCACGGTCTAGCCGGTGGAGCGCCTGGACGAGACGACGTTCCCGACTGGGGATCGATTCGGAACAGAAATGCTATACGACACACGTGTGTTTTATATAAAAAACACATAAATTTTTAGTCCACCGGATCGTTGCCTCGGTTTGTCCGTGTCTGTCAGATCTGTCAAGCCGTGCCCCGGGCGGGGCGGCCTTCCAGGTGAACGTCGTCAGATCTGTGTCGTGTCAGGTGAGGCCCAGAGGGAGAGAGAGGACACGAACGCGAATCGCGCCCGGCCAGGGCCCCACGACGCGACGACCCATGACGAATGGGCAGTCAATGAACCAACCGCTCTGTAATTTGTCCTTTCATAGAAAAAAAATTGTTTTCTGTTATATGTGATTTGTGATCTGTGGATCTGTGATCTTGTGATTGTCTGAATGCAGAAGAAGGCTAGAGGTAGAAGAAGGATGGAGGCTACTGGATATTAATCTTATGGTGCAAAAAAATTCATGTGTTGAAATTGTATAAAACACATGGTTGTGTAGCAGACAGACTCAAAAATACTATACAACACACGTGTGTTTTAGCACAAAAAACACATAGATTTTTAGTCCACCGGATCGTTGCCTCGGTTTGTCCGCGTCTATCAGATCTGCCAAGCCGTGTCCCGGGCGGGGCGGACTTCCAGGTGAACGTCGTCAGATGTGTGTCGTGTCAGGTGAGGCCCAGAGAGAGAGAGAGGACGTGAACGCGAATCGCGCCCGGCCAGGCCCCACGACGCGATGACCCATGACGAACGGGCAGTCAATGAACCAACCGCTCTGTAATTTGTCCTTTCATAAAAAAAATGTTTTATGTGATATGTGATTTGTGGATCTGTGATCTTGTGATTGTCTGAAGGTAGAAGAAGGCTAGAAGTAGAAGAATGACAGAGGCTACTAGATATTAATCTTATGGTGCAAAAAAAATATGTGTTAATTGTATAAAACACAGCAGACAGACTCATTCGGAAACGTGTCTAGCCCAGTCACAAGGGGAGGCGCGGCAAATTAAAGCCTAGCCGCGCCAGCGTGGCCGCGTTTCTAGTTCATGTCGGATTCGAACAACCAATCTCCTCAGTCGGATTCCCGGCCAATAGGGGCAAAAGCCGGCGTCCCATCGATCGCGTTCTACGAATTCGTGTACGACTCGAACAACCAATCTCCTTAGTCGATTCGTGTTCGCGACGACGATCGATATAAAGCCCGGTGTCCCATCGTCCCTGTCCCATACTCCCTCCCATCGATCGTTAGCGAGCCATCGAGACCCTTTCCTCCTCAGCGCCATCTCGACAGCTTTCCTAGTTCCCTTCCCTGCAGCCAATCCAAGCGCACGCGCCGCAGCGGTGATGGCGCTCCGCCGGTGGAAGCCCTTCTTCCCGGCGTTCGGCGCCATCGACACGGCCATCGAGGCCGCCACCGAGGGCTGCTCCCGGGACAAGTACCGGCAAGTGAGGAGCGACCTCGTGGAGATGCTCTGCGACTGCGATGCCGCGGGCAGCGACGACGACGTTCGAGCGGAGGGGCTCTGCCGGCTGCTCGACAGGGCCATGGCCGAGGCGCTTCTGACGCTGCGGGCGATCCCGGTCCCGGTGACGCCGACCATGCTGGCGGCCACCGACGTCGCCAAGGCCGTCGGCGGCCTGCTGAGGCACGAGGCCGGGTGGGTGCGCGCCCTCGCCCGCGGCATCTTGGCCCAGTGGAGTTCGTCGATCGAAGCCGAAGCCGCGTCGACCGAAGTCAAAGGCGCCGCCTTGGACACGCTGTTGCAGATATTGTGTGAGCACGAGGTGGCCGCTCCAGTCACCGCATGCATCCGCAGCGGCCCTGAGACGACAGTTCTTCAAGCAGATAGTATCAAGCAAGCCGCCAAGATCTCAGACCTGGAGTGCCCCGAGAACAAGAAGATGCCTCCTGGTGTTTCCTTTGCTGGCGGCGATCGCGTCAGGAACAAGCAGACAGGGGATGCGAAGCGCAAGCACCCAGGAGCAGGAGCAGGAGGCTGCTACCGAGAAGCTGATGACGTGAAGCGGCAACGCAAGGTCCCGGAGATGGTCGAGCACAGGCCGAGGAAGATCTGATGGAGCCGGCCATGAAGAGTAGGAGCCGAGTTAGCAGCTGGAGATCGACGGACGAGAGGCACTTCTTGACGTCGACGCGTCATAGGAGGGTTTAGGGTTGTGTGAGAATCCAGGGTTGTCCATCTTTTGACCTTGTTTATGCTTTTTTTTCCCTGCTGATGATGTCAAGAAGTCAAGTGCTGTATTCTGAATGTGTAAAATACTACAAACTCTTATTCTTGTTGAGCATGCATCCTGTTCGATCATTTCTGATCAAAACCTTTATGCAACCGTTTTAATCAGCATGCATCGTCTTCATCAATCAGTAAGAAAAGATCCGAGAACCAGATTGGGATAATTGGATCCCACCGAGATCGTGTTCTTTCGCAATTGCAGCTTAATATTTGTCCTTCTCTACTGATGGCAATGCCTCGACGATCAGATTTGAAGAACCCGTAGTAGCGGAAATAGGTTCGGCTGGAAGAGAACCTGTATCAGTCAGAATCTGAAGTCACGCATAAGGGCGGTTCGACTAATCTTTGCCAAGCACCGGAATGCCCAGATTACACAATATCGAGCACTGATGATTCAAGTTAGGAAATCCATGATCCTGCTTATAAACCACACAAATGCATTCTATAGGTTTGCATGGGAATGCCCAGATTACACAACCTCATTCACCCAATAATGCTTCTTCACTCTTCAGGTTTAGTAAACTGGGGTGCATTTTTCAGCTCATGTACAGTACAGGCGTGACAAATATCTTCAAACTGAGGCCTGTAGCGCCATCTTCTCCCAGGCTTGCACATAAACCTGTAGCGCACACTGCAAATTGGCCCATCTGCAATCAGCACGATAAAATAACCACAGCTCAAACTCCACAGAGAACATACAACATTCTGACCATAACTCGGAATGCACAATTGATCGGAGTGGCTCTCTTTTATTCCCATTTTGCTAGCCAAGCACAAGGCCGGATTTGAACCATTGGGCCAACCAAACACACTAGGCAAAGCTGAACAAAATAGTATCTTCAGGCTCTGCCCTAGAGATCTCAATGCTTCTGAAGCATGTCCCTGAACCAGTAGGCTGACGCCTTCGGGTGCCGTTCGAGCGTGTTGAAGTCAATGTAGACGATGCCAAACTTGGACGAGTATCCTGACAGCCACTCGAAGTTGTCAAGGAGAGACCAGGCGAAGTAGCCAGCCATGTTTGCGCCCTGATCTATGGCTTTTTTCAGCTGGCCGGTGTAGCTTCTGTAGAACCCCACCCTTGTGGTATCGCGCAGGTACTGGTCACGGGTCAAGTTTCCAGGCTGATCCATTCCTGGTAACACAAAAAAAAAAAAAAGATTGATATATGAGGATTCCCTTGGTACGCAACGTGTTCATGTGAAACATGAAATAAATATGGAATTCTGTTGAGTACCATTCTCGGTTATGTAAACGGTTGGATTTCCATACTTCTCCTTGAGGTAGTTCACACATCCGTACATCCCCGTTGGGACGATGTAAAGCCAGTTAGAATTTGCCTACATGTCCATGCATTGGTTAGCAAGGATTTATTGTAGTACTTCTGAATTTGTAGCTAATGGTAGCATAATATGCACTATGCAGCGCTAACAAAGGAAATAACGTTGAGAAAGAGTAAATGGAGGTTCTGCATACCTGTGGTCCAATTGGTTTGCCATCGCGTGCAACTACAGAATTTATGGGACGAATGTTTAGGTTAGGTTAAAAAATATCTAAGACAAATATATTTATACAAAATATAGAGTTTAAGGCAAGAAACTCAAAAACATATTGAACCTGCCAATCGGCAGAGTAGCTACTGGGCGTCTGCTGGACCAGTTTCTGTCCCTTCATGTAGCTGGCTGTGTATTCATTGATGCCAATGTAGTCTGCTGAGCCCTTGACCAATTTAGCTTGCTCAGGAGTGAACCTGGGCAGCCTCTCCTTCACAAGATCTTGCATTATCTGTGGATAATGTCCATTTATCAATGGATCAACAAACCTGCATCAGTTGTAACAGTTAACTATATTATCACTTGCAGTTTTCATTTATCAAAACTTAGGTTCTGACAGAGGATATAGCTTGCCAGCCAATGTGGAAGTCCCTAGCTCTTTGGGCAGCTGCTTGGTCATCAGGTGAGTCTGTAAGAGCTTCATACCAATTGAAGTCCAGGACTATTCCAACCTTACCCTTCTGAGCAGCCTACGTATTGAAAACATTATGCCACTCTTCCATCAGCAATTTTAAATCCAAGAAGTAATTGAGATTCAACAGGTATGTCCAACTATTTAGGAAAACAAGCTAATGCATTTAATGAAGAATAGAGTTATAAATATGAAAGTATGTTGAGCGTATTGTTCCAAGCATATATTTTTTTTGAACGAAATGTTCCAAGCATATATAGACCCTGCCACATTTCATTTAATAATAAAATAAAATTTTGGACCGCACACTTCATTGAATAAAATAACATCAGCCTAGCTTTTATTTTCAGGGGAACTTTTGAGATCCTCAAGAAGAAATTACCTGATATTTTGCACGGTATCTTGCAACTGCAGCAGCATGTGCCAAGAGAAAATTATGAGCAACAATGTAAGGTTCGGTTGCTGAATTCCCACCGGCAGCGCATTTGGTGCACCTTTGAGGAGGATTTGACCCTTTGTCATAGCCAAGTAGCGCTACTATCCTTGGTTCATTGAATGTAAACCAGTGCTTTATGCGATCGCCGTAGGTCTTAAAACAGAAGTCAGCATAGTCTGTAAACAGGTCCCTACAAAACAAATTGTATACATATATAAGTACAATCTGGTATTTCTAGTTCTATATCAAGTGAAATTAGAGCTACAGCATGACACATAGCTAGGCTAACATATAATTTCTAGAGTGCTTCTATGTTCTGTATTCTTCTTTTGGGAAAACACAGAAAGTCGTCCATAATATGACCAGAAATAAACATCAATTAATTTTTAGACTGACCTACGCCATCTTAGCGCTTAACCACCCTCCATATTTCTTCTCAAGCGCAAGAGGAAGATCGTAGTGGTAAAGGTTGATGTAAGGAGTCATGCCTGCCCAGTTGTCAAGGAGGGACGTTCAGTTATGTTTACATAGGTAACACTAGGTTCCAATGAACATCTCAGAAGTAGAATTATAAAATTCCAACTTATTTGTTACCTTTCTGAAGCAGATAGTTTATCAAACTGTTGTAATATGCTACACCTTCTGGATTGACTTTCCCCTCGCCATCTACATAATCCAAAGATGTATAAGCAGTAGTAGCACCCAAAAACTCATGTTTGTGCAATCATGTTACAACATAAGTCAAATTTGTTTACCTGGGAAAATCCTGGACCATGAGATTGAAAACCGGTAAGCATCAAAATTCAAACTTTTCATGAGATCAACATCTTCCTGTAGAAGAACAAAAGAATTAATCATAAAGCCACCAAACTCTCTTATATCTCAGCGTAGATCGGTTCATCTACTTCTCATAGTCAGGTACCTTGTAGCGATGGTATTGATCCACTGCAATGTCTCCATTTTGATTCCCCGCAATATTTCCTGTTCATTGCAACAAAACAAAAAATAGAAAATCTTAATGAATGTAGTTTAAGCTGAATAGTTTACCACAGTTAATGAGAATCAAGATGCATAGATCTCAATGAATGTTTGGCGTACAATCAACATCGGATTAACTGTTGTCCAACATTTCCTAGTTGGTTCATAGTTTTTTTTGCCTAGATCCATCTCTTGCACCCCCACCCCCAAAATAATGTCAACTACTACTAAGTACTAACCATCTAACCAAGTAGCCACTTGCTCTCATTGTCAAACATTCGGAGATCCAACCCGTAATCAACGCCTGATTGGCTAGGCCATGGTAATTCAGACGCCCTGTTGTTGCAGCACTGATACGGCAACTGACGTGGGTGGATACTGGATAACCAGTACCTGGATCCATGCTTCCTAGGACTACCCACGCTTACGCATCAGATTTCCTCACTCCCGTGCCAACCGAAGCAGTCAAGCAGAGTTCAGCGTAGCACACAGAGATGAAGCGAAGCGAAGCAGTACCTGGGACGTGCGCGAATGAATCCCAGATGGAGGGGCCCCGACCGTTGGTGGACGCGGCGCCCTCTACCTGGTACGCCGACGTCGCCGTCCCGAACACGAACCCCTTGGGGAACGACGCGCGGCTCAGCCCGCCCAGCCAGTTGGCGCCCTTCGCCCCGGCGGCGTAGACACGGACACCGCCGCCGCCGCCGCTGGCGACCAGCAGCGCGACCGAGCGTCCATCTCGCTCCGCGCGCACGCACGGCGGCCGGGCAGTGTCAGCTCGCAGTTCGCTCACAACCCACCGGCGTCACCGCGTCAGCCAGCACAGCAGAGTAGCAGAGGCGCAGGCCTTCAGCGCTACTAGACTGCGCTGGCGCACTAGCTGGCGTGTCCCTACTATTTGTTGCTGCTCACGTCGCCTCTCATCAATGAGTAGTGTCGCGTGTCGGTGCGGTGGATCGAGGCATCTCTGTGCGTGGGCCCCGACACGCGCACGACCGGTGCCGGTGATTACCTCGCGTTCCCGGGTGGGCCGCGCTTGTCTCCTGCCGTCCTCGGCTGTTCCATTGATGAAGCGTTAGTGCCGGGAATGGCGGGCGGTTCACGACGCATGTCGGCTTTCGGTGGATGGCGTGTCGCTCTCTTTTTCTCAGGGAATCGGGGCGGCGCGGCGCGGCGTATGCATCTGCGCATGTGCAGAGAGGCGTCCGGTCGGTTCGTCGGCGCGGCTGGCCACGGACTACGGTACGTTCCCGGGAGGATCGAACATGGCAAGGACGAGTATGTCCTGGTGCGCGCGTTGCTCAAACTGGCTGTTTTGCTTGGTGACAAAACAGCCGGTTGTCGTGAAGCCATCGAGCAATCATTCGCGCGTGTTTCGTTTTAATCATCGGTCACTTTGGAGTATTGACAAAGATAATTTAGCTACAGAAATACTATACAACACTATATTTTAGAGAAAAAAAAACACATAAATTTTTTCTTCTTTTTTCACCGGAGATCACCGGCATGACCCTGTGACGCCTGACGCCTGACGGAGAGAGCAGGGTGACCCTTTGACATGACGGCACGAGCACTGCCGGTACGCGCCGCTCCTGCCTCCAGGTGCCTCTTTCTCTACCATTTATGATTTGTTTTTTTATAGAAAAAAAAATTATTTGTGGATCTATGATCTTGTGATTTATAATTGTTTAAGGTAGAAAAAGACTAGAGATAGAAAGAGTATAAAGACTGTTGGATCTTAATTTTATAGTAAAAAAAATTCATGTGTTAAAACTACATAAAACACATACACCCTATAAAAACACATAAATTTTTTCTCTCTTTTTTCACCGAGATGGATGACCCTGGTTGGATCTTGAACCTCATGATGAAACATGAACATGACGGCACAGAGCATGTGTTGAACATACATCCCGGCTCCAGGTACCTCTTCCTCTACGATTTATGATTTATTCTTTTATAAAAAAAGTTATTTTTTATCTGTGAATCTATGATTTTATGATTTATGATTGTCTAGAGGTAGAAAGAGGATGGATACTATTTTAATTACTGCAAAAAAAAGCGAAACTGCATAAAACACATGGGCTCTGTCTGTCAAGTTTTGGATAAAACTAGGGGTAATTTTTGGGACCAATGGTTGGGTCAAACAAGTTAAATATGGGGTAAGCCGAACGAGACCATGGTTGGGTAGACAGACGCTAAGCGCAATGGGCAAGGGAGAGAGTACAATTGCTTTTGTTACAAGAACAAAATAACTAAGCATATGTTTTTTGAACATCGATTTGCTCATGCTGTCTGGGCTGCTGTGCATGCAGCTACAAATATTCCTTAACCTTGTTGTAGTGTATCCAACATGTTCGAAAGTTGGTTACGGCGTTTAAGCTAGGACTTCATGCCGCTAGTCCTGTTGGGAGCTGGTGCCATTTATTGGTCGTTTTGGGCCCGTTCGTTTCGCTGAAAAAACAAGTCGAAATACTATTTCGGTTAATTTGTTGTGAGAGAAAAACACTATTTCGACTGAAAAAAAACTAAAAAGTACGGATTATAAGATAAACGAACAGGGCCTTAATTATATAGGAATGATATAATTTTTGAAACAAATGGTGTTTCTTCTCACCTATATGCTATCTATACTACAGAGGCTGGCTTCCTAGAATTCGATTGCGGTGGTTTGTCTACAATTAGCGAATGTTGTCAAGTAATACTTTTCTTAGGCACATGGGTGATGATTTAGTCTACAGATTGATTAGTACTAGTATGTTTGTACTTTCTTTAAAAGTTGTAGGTTGTGTGCATCCTGATATGCAGAGTTCGGGAATGCTTTCAAGATGATTGTATCAACTCAACATGATGAGAAACATAATAAAAGCTTCCTTTATCGAAAAAAGATCTCACTACAGAGCATTTTTTTAATCATAGTACTAGTGAATATGAACGCATAAATCTCGAGATTGACGAGGCCACGTATATACACACACTCACCCTTACGAATGTAAGCACACACACATCTCCCCTATGAGCACCTTAAACCAACAGATCTTGAGCACAATTCAAATACTTCACCCGATCACCACCCTTTCCTATGAGCACCTTTGAAATAATGAGACTGAACCGGTAGATCTCGAAATTAATGAAATACTGAGACTGAGAAAGTCACCACAGATGTCTCACTATCGATGGGTACGTCAACAACCACTAAAAGAACAACGTCGACTACTACTAAAAGAACAACTCCGTTAAATCTAGAAAAATGCGAGCACAAATATCAAATCAATGACTTGAACCCGGATAGACAAGTTTCACCATAAGAAACCCAACTAACTGAGTTCCACTCAGTTCGTTCAACTATTTCTAATTGATTAACAGAAACTTATTGTTTAACACAATATTTGATCAAAGCTTAAAAACTGCAAGCGTTAATAATTATTACATTGTGTAGTTTAAAAATCATATAAGTTTATGTGTCAGTTTGTATTCAAACTACTTGCAAAATCTGTTATATTTGAAAGATGGTGGTCAAAGATATGCATCAAAGACTATGAAAAATCAAGTATGCTAGGCACACAGAATTATAGTCACATTGATACGATATGTCCCTCTTGGAGACGCAACATGTATTCAAAATTATTAAGCAGGATAAAGTGTCCACTGTCCACAAACAGTGAAGACGGATGATAGCAGAAAACACAAGGATGCAAACAGATAAAACACAATTAGCATGGAACGCTCAAATTGATTTTCCGTTTATCATCTTTTACTCCCATTTTGATATCCTTGCACTGAGCTGCTTTACAACTTTTGGTAGAATAATATGGCCAGCCAAACACTACCTTAGGCAACGCTGAAGAAATTAAATGGTAACTAACTCAGGCTTGTGGTTGTTAGACGTTCAGTGTTTCTGAAGCATGTCTCTGAACCAGTAGGCTGACGCCTTGGGGTGTCGTTCGAGCTTGGGCGTGCTGAAGTCGACGTAGACGATTCCGAACTTGGACGTGTAACCTGACTGCCACTCGAAGTTATCAAGGAGAGACCAAGCGAAGTAGCCAGCCACATTTGCGCCATCATCGATGGCTTTCTTCAGCTCAGCGAGGTAGCCTTTGTAGAATTGCACCCTTGTGGTGTCGTGCAAGAACTGCTCACGGGTCAAGTTTCCAGGTTGATCCATTCCTGGTAACATAGAAACAAGATTGGTATATGTATCCCTTGATATGCAACGCATTTCATGTGAAATGTGTAATGGTGAGATGTGAGACTGTACTAATGAGTACCGTTCTCAGTTATGAAAACTGTTGGATTTCCATACTTCTGCTTCAGATAGTTCACACAACCATACATCCCCGTTGGGACAATGTAAAGCCAATTTGAATTTGCCTGATATTGAAAAGCTAATCAGGATTTCACAAACTAGCGAGTTATTTCTTAATTCACCAGCACTGAGCCACTGATGGCGTGTAACGTGTACTGTGTAGTATTCCCTCCATTCCAAATTATAAGTCATTCCAATTTTCTTGGAGAGTCAAAGGATCTTAAGTTTGACCAAAATTATAGAAAGAATTACAAAGATTTATTAAATCACATATGTATACTATGAAAATATAATTAATGAAAAATCTAATGATACTTATTTGATATCATAAATGTTATTATTTTATTATATAAATTCGGTCAAACTTGAGATGTTTTGACTTTTCAAGAAAGTTGGAATGACTTATAATTTGGAATGGAGAAAGTACTAGTTTACTGGATGATGTTTGCAAATGCTGAAGTGAATAAGAACTACATACCTGTGGTCCAATTGGTTTGCCATTCCGTTCTACTGCATAATTTAGGGGACGAATGCTCAGGTGAAAAATATCTAAATTTAGGTAAAACTTGGGTTTGAGGTAAGAACTCACAAGCATATTGAACCTGCCAATCAGCTGAGTAGCTAGTAGGCTTCTGCTGGAGCAATTTCTGGCCCTTGATGTAGCTAGCTGTGTATTGATTGATCCCAATGTAATCCGCTGAGCCCTTCACCAATTTAGCTTGCTCAGGAGTAAACTTGGGTAGCCTCTCTTTCACAATATCTTGCATCGTCTGTGGATAATGTCCATTTATTAATGGATCAACAAACCTGCATCAAATGCAATTATTGATGATATTAGAACTTGTACTTTCCTTACATGAAAACTCAGGTCTTGCCAAAGGATACTTGTATAGCTTACCAACCAACATGGAAATCCCTTGCTCTTTGAGCCGCTGCTTGGTCTTCAGTTGAGTTTGTGAGAGCTTCGTACCAATTGAAGTCCAGAACTATTCCAACCTTTCCTTTCTGAGCAGCCTACACTTCGAAAAATTTTATTTTATCAGCAATTTAAACCCGAAAATGTTAATTATTACATATATAGCAAATTGGACAGGCTATAGCTATTGCATGCCTTTTGCGGTTTACATGACCAATTAGTTATGGAAGGAATCGGTTGCATTTTTTGAGTGAGGAATAGAATTGAAACATTATAAAGTATGTTGAGCATCGTTCCAAAGCATATAGACCCGCAACATTTCATTTCTTAAAATTTACTTTTGGACTGCACACTTCATGTAGTAAAATAAGATCAAATTTTGTACTGTACTCCAGATTACTGATTACTAACATAGCACTTCAAGAACAGATCTATAAGATTTTTTGTTCAGGGTAATTCTATGAGATATTAAGTAGAACATACCTGATACTTATTACGGTATCTTGCCACTGCAGCAGCATGTGACAACAGAAAATTATGAGAGACGATATAAGGTTCCGTTGCTGAATTCCCACCAGCAGCACATTTGGTACACCTTTGAGGAGGAATCAACCCACCATCATAACCAAGTAGTGCTACTATCCTTGGCTCATTGAATGTAAACCAATGCTTTACACGATCGCCAAAAGTCTTAAAACAGAAGTCGGCATAGTCTGTGAATAGTTCCCTACAAAACATTATATAGAAATGTAAATAAAATCTGTTTTTTCTTCCTGCTGATTTTTTTGAAATAAAATTTTCTTCCTGCTAAGACTTGTGATACGAGGGATATAGCATGTCACATTTTGCAAGGATAAAATAAATTAAACAGAGTGCTTCTATACATTGTGCAGTCTTCTTTTGGGAAAATATAGAAACACTTTCATATTCATAATTATCTATTTGTAGGGATTAGGACTCTAGGAGTCACATTTTAAGACTCAGTAACAAATCTCAGCACATGAACAGATAGAAATTAGACTGACTTACGCCATCTTGGGGTTTAACCACCCTCCATATTTGTTTTGAAGTGCAAGAGGAAGATCGGAGTGGTAAAGATTGGCGTATGGAGTAATGCCTGCTCAGTTTTCAAGGAGACATTCAAACATGAACGAATGTGGGTTCCAACCGAAGCCTCAGATGTCGAATTTGCTCCAACTTGAGCTTGTACCTTTCTGAAGCAGGTAGTTTATCAAATTGTTGTAATAGGCAACACCTTCTGGATTGACTCTTCCCTCGCCATCTACATAAACCAAAGGTGTGTCACCGGTGTTAAACCTAAAAGAACTTGTGCTCCTAGACTACCATGCTAACTGCTAAGTACAACTGAACTCAGATATATGTACCTGGGAAGATCCTGGACCATGAGATTGAAAACCGGTAGGCATCAAAATTTAAACTTTTCATGAGGTCAACATCTTCCTGTAGCATGACAAAAGGACTAAGTACAAGGCTAATTAACAAACTTTATTTTACTTCAAACTGCACCTGCAAGCATTTACTACATCTCATTTGTCATATAATAACTAGCAGTACCCTGTAGCGATGATATTGATCCACTGCGACGTCTGCAGTCTGATTCCCTACAATATTTCCTGTTGATCGCAACACAAAACAGAGAATGTCAATGAAACAGGAAACTTCAATCGTTGCAGCAGACACAAGGTACCGCTCCCGAGTCTGCCGGGTCGAGTACAGAGAGGGCCATTTCGTACGCCTGCGCATCAGACTCTTGCAGCACACTACACTAGTCGAAGCCGAGCTTGCTAATGCTAGCGCAGGGATGGGGCAGCCGGGCGCAACTGAATCTGAGTGTAAGCGAGAGGTGAAGGTGATCGCTACCGTACCTGGGGTGTGCACGAATGGGTCCCAGGTGGAGGGCCCCCGGCCGTTGGTGGACGCGGCGCCCTCGACCTGGTACGCCGACGTCGCCGTCCCGAACACGAAGCCCTTGGGGAACGACGCGCGGCTCAGCCCGCCCAGCCAGCTCGCTCCTCCCCCCGCCGCTGCACCTGGACGCGCGCCGCCGCACGCCACCAGCAGCGCGAGCAGCAGCGCCGCCCACCGGACAGCAACCATCTCTTCTCCCCTGCCGCACAGAGCAAGCAACCCTCACTCTGTTTGCCCACTAGCTCCGGACTCCTGGTAACGGTTGGGTGGCAGTAGCACTATTGCTCCTGCAGTCCTGCTAGCTAGGGTCGTCACCAGTCACCACTCCAGTCCCCGGCGCGGCATCTTTTTGATGTGAACTTGGCCGTGCACGCACCCGAGTTTCGACGATATCCTCTCCCTGACTACGACGGGCCGACACGGCTGGTGAGGGTAGCGATTAACTTATCCGATCGCATGGCTCGTGCGCGTCTACTTTCCTTGGAGGCTTGGATTGTTTATGGGTCGTCGTCCCTTCGCGTGTGGTCTGCGGGAGTATCTCGCGGTGCGGGCTGTCTACAGTCTACTGTCTTGTTGACCGGTGAAACAGCACGTCGTGCGGTGCGGACGGACTTGAATTTTTATTTGGCTGGGATATCGAAGATTTCGCTGTGCTGCTACTGCAGGCTGCAGCTGCTAACTTCGGTGTACTCGTGCTGCCACATCGGAAGAACGTGGCCACGTGGGGAAGCGATCTGGACTCTTGCGTTTCCAGCTATCGCTGGATCAAGCACATTTGTTCGAAATCGAAATGGAACCGCGAGGTCACGGCCTCACGGGGCAGGTGGAAGCTCAGAAGCTGCGAGGAACCAGTAACCTATAGCAACGGAAGGATCACGAGCATGCCTCTGCGTGATTCTTTGCCATTATACTATGCGTCGATGGGATAGCTAATATTTCATACTAAAAACACACGGATCACACGATAAGATAACAATGTTGTAAAAATTAAATACCAACATTAAAGTGATAATTAATCCAAAAAGCATAGTTTGTGAAATTAACAGCCATGGAGTGCGCGGCGTCACAGGCTTACAAACTCTACTTTATAGAACTTTCCGTGATGCGCCTAAGATAATATTTTATATCGGCAGGAAGAAATCTCCGATATCCATTTCTTTCGTGCGCCAATAAATCCACGAATAAGTTCCGCCGTATCTCCATACCATCCTGTACACAGGCTCGAATATATATGTCAATATTAGTGCCTGTCGATATGTCGACAAACATTGTTCAATCCACATATTTTGAATCTGTTTGACCAATGAAAATACACAAAATGACTATTATATTAGACTAAATTCATGTCCATCATCTATTCAAACTGCATGTCACAAGCGTGTAAATAATTTCAATATCATTTAGTTCTCTAAATCTATGAGACGCGACACGGTGTTCTTAGCAAATTCTTGAACTCAGCGACGTCTGGCTTCATCAACAAGCAGACGATTACGTAGGCCTATAAACAAATAAAAAACTTTTGGGTCGGTGCTGTAGTCAATAAATTAAATCAATGAATTACCCTAAAAGAACCTTACTTTAAAAATCATGCGCCTGATTACAAATAGGACTGAATACCAATTCGCTGAAATCGTCAGTAGTGGTCACTCCGCCTATCATGCACGAGCAAAAAAAATATAATAATTGATACTTTATTTAGTCAATATATATGAGGACATCAGTGATACAATACCTCTATTTCTATTCATTTGTACTTGGAGACCAGCTAAAATGCACAACTCTAATGTCGCTCGCCGCCATTCCGATAAGTGACGGCATATGTGTATACTTGACGGTTATTGTGATGCAGTGGTACCTACGAGTTACAAAATTTATTAGCATCAAACAATAAAAAATTGATAGCATGGAGCAATGATAAAATTTTCAATCTATGTACTTTTATTCATCAGCACCATATATCTGTACGGTCGCATCCGCACGCCATCCCTTCCTCGAATATTAGACACATAATAGTTATTGATGGAATATGAACATGAACAGTTAACTATGTATTTTTAAATATAGGCGTATGAGGTATATCTAAAAAAAAGTACTTAGCTCGAGCATATACATCCTCGAATTCCATAAAGGTACGAGAACACTGACAAATCCATAGCTCTCTCGATGGTGCATTAGCCATACTTTGTGGAGATAGAACCACAAAGTAGTCGGCACATAAACGGAAGATATAGCCCAAAGGACCAACATGAGTAGGCACGAAGCCAACTCTCATGAAGTCATAACATTCTCCTACACAAAGCAAACGGTCGAACCTCATGGTTTAGTCGCCGTACGCAATCGCTTCTATTTTGGTTTACTATAAGAATATTAGATCCAACAGATAGATAACAATGGTATATAGAAAAAAAAATTAGACATGGTTCAAAAAGATGAGCTCAAAATGCACCTGCTCATCCTTTAAAATCACACGCAAATATGTATCACCATGGTGTTCTCGTACGTTGCCTTTCTAAAAAATCATGGCACTCACATCCCATATAGAAGATATGTGTTCCATTCCCACTTCATGGAATTCAACCCATCTACAATTCCGTCCGTGTCAATCAAAATGATAAAACACACGAGTAAACCTATGTTGACAGAAAATGATTGCCTCAATCAATTACAAGATAAATATAACATAGTTACCTGTAGATGTGTGTATTGGTGATTGTAGGCGGCGGACCAGCGTACACCCTCTTTCTTTTGAGCGACCGACCGCCAGAACCCATCTCGGCAACTGAGAAACAAAAATCATAAAAAATATACATGATGACATTAGTCAGTCTAAACATAATATACTATTATTCTATGAAGATCGACAAGCAATTAAAGATTTAAAGTTGTCGGTGTGCTCTGTGCCTCTGTCCTGTTATCTTGATAACGTCATGTGAGGCATCTGAAATAACTACAATACCTACATTGTTAATTTGTTAGCATACATGACCGCAAATTTGATGCCCGTGCGTAGCCACGTGCCACCAAAATTTGAACTGCAGTATACGGTGATAGATCATGATACAAATCAAACCACCAAAATAATATCATGTTTTGGTTGCTATCATGATGCCTTAGAAATAATTTTTGGTTTATGATTTATTATTGGAGTTGTGTAGCCTCCAGAAATCCAATCCAAACAGGGCCATGAAATTTTTAGGATTGACATGCTCCAAAAAGTACATGAAATAAATTTTATAAAGAGATAAAAGGAGCTAAGCCTTGCATTAGCTAGAGATCCCAACACGCATCACATAGCCTCTGCACGTATTTATCCAAGACTCTTTAAAGGCATGATTTTAGATCACACAAGCACCGGAGGCAATAACAAATAAAGAAACACATCAGGACAGGATGGGATTCACTAACAAGGTGGACGTTTATGGAAGACAGAAGATGTTGAAAGCTCCTCGTGTCAGTCCACAGTCCTCCTCGAGGGCACAGCAAGACAGCGAAGGCGATGGCAGCAGGCGACGACGATGGCGACACGCTATGGCGAAGCACAGCCGGTGCACGAGAGAGGGCGCGAGGGCGAAGGCCGGTGCGAGCGAGGGCGAGCTCAGCTGGCGAGGGTGGGCGCTATGGCGAGGCCACATGATTTATAGCAGAGGATTGATAGCAGTCTCTCTCTTTCTTTTTGTCTTAATTCTCTTTCCTTTGTGTTAATTCTCTTTCCTTGGAGTAAGCCGCAGGGAAGCCGGGAGAGGCTCATTGCCATATATGCTGGTGTATACAAACATGCAATGTGTATATGGATAGCATAATAATTTTCTACTTTCTATTTTGCCATGATTCCATGTAAATTTTTTTGGCCGAAGCAAGGAACAACATGTACCATTTCAAATATGCTCAACTACGACGACCAAAACTGAATTCATAGTAATATTTTGCTGGCAGCGTCATGGCCAGAGTTATGAAGCCAATATTTGGATATGATATCCAGCCGTGCGTGCGAGCCATGATGGACCAGCAGCAACCTTTTATATGAAAAATGAAAACTCGGTACTCAGCTGCCAAAAAAGAACATCACTAACGCACTATTCATTTGGGCTAGTTTGCCTTATAAGTCATGGCTGAAAATACTGTTGACTGATTTAGTGTGAGAGAAAAATATTGTTCGTTGGCTGATAAGTCATGGCTTATAAGCCAAATACGACCAGACGAACAGCCTGTAAACTGGTGGCCACCATGACAATCGACAACAGACTCTAATCAACGCAGATACACGGAATGAGGCAGCTCAGCTCAATCAACACACGAAAAACACTAAATATACGTTCAAAGCTGGCCCCTGAAAAATAAGCCCTCAATCGTAGTCTCAGTCCTACAACAGGTCCCCCTCGTCGATGCAACATGTCTTAAAAGCAACACGCTGCCATCCACTACAAAATTCACACTAAGGCCCGTTCGCTGGTCTAAAATTTGGCTGAAAACTGATGAAAAATACTATTCTGGCTGAATTGTTGTGAAAGAAAAACACTGTTCCGACTGAAAAAAGAAGTCGAACAAACCATTTTTAAAACAAGCGAACAGGCCCTAGAAGAAAAAAAAAAGTACTCCTTTCTAATTAAACCGAGGTAACCATGAAGACGAGAACACACAAGGAGACGAACAGAGAGACCAGCAGGACAGCGCCATTCGAGGTGGCTGACGGCGAACCAGCTGGACGGGTGCCTGAACCGGTCTGCGGGGTGGCGGCCTTGGAGCCCGTCCCCGAAAGCATGTCCTTGAACCAGTACGCCGAGTCCTTGGGGTACCGCTTCAGCGTCGTGAAGTCGACGTAGACGATGCCGAACTTGGACGTGTAGCCCGACAGCCACTCGAAGTTGTCCAGGAGGGACCACGCGAAGTAGCCCACCACGTTTGCGCCGTCGTCGATCCCTTTCTTCAGCTCCGTCAGGTAGTTCTTGTAGAAGTCGATCCGAACGGTGTCGTGCAGGTACTCCTCGCGTGTCAGGTTTCCGGGTTGATCCATCCCTGATATAATTATGTTCATTCATTCATGGCACAATGATTTGTCGATGCAATTCAAGGAGCATCATGGAAGGGAGTGCAAGCATTTCAGGTGAAGGAGACAGGTTATTTCGTGTTACCGTTTTCGGATATGATGATGGTTGGATTCTGGTACTTTTCCTTTATGTAGTTCACAACTCCATACATGCCCGATGGGACGATGTAAAGCCAAACTGAGTGCGCCTGCACAGCACAGGTACATTCATCATCAGAATTTTTCATGCTGTTTTGCACTTGTCAATCTTGTAACACCAACAGAATAAAGTAGAGGGTTCAAAGTAGTAAAAGGGAGAAGCTTATACCAGCTGTCCAATTTGCACGCCGTTTCTTTCAACTGCAAAGTTCAACATGGAAGGAAGAAGGCGATGATCTTCAGAACTGTAGTGATACACACACAACCACATAGAACCAGAATCACAGGTTGGTAACTCACACTTATATTGAACGCCCCAGTCAGACGAGTAGCTTGGTGGTCCTTGCTGTGTAGTTTGTTCATTTGAAATGTAGTATGTTGTATATTGATTGATCCCAAAATAGTCCGATGAGCCCTTGACTAGCTTAGCCCTCGACCCATCTATTTAGAGAAAGAGAGAGGATTGATAATAGAGACAAGGTTTTTATAACAGAACAGAGACCGAAGCGAACATATCTTTTAGAAAATAACAAGGTTGGAGAGAAAGCAAGAATTAAGCATACATGAGAGCATACTAGAACGTCTAGTTCTAACTAGGCTTGCGTCATATAGTTAGCATTGCTCTGATACCACTTTGTAGCATCCGATTTTAAGAACAAAACCAGATACACACCATATGTGAGCCCAGGAAATCAAATCTCACATATAGCTACAAATAAGGGTAATATCGAAAGACAATGCTCAATATATAACGTACTTAGTATAAAGGATATAACCTTAGACAGCAAACAGTGGAAAGACAACTCCGATCTTCGGGTGAAGACTCTAATTCCACAGGGACAACTGACTAGTTGATCACAAGCCTAATTCCTCCAAAATCTATCAATCTGGTACCCATCCGGGATTTTTATCTAAATATTTAAAAAGTAAAGCAAGCGTAAGTACATGTCGTACTCAATAAATATAACATGGGGTTCATGAGGTTCAAAAGGTTGACACTAATTTACTGCGGTTAGCTTTTAGTGAGTCATGATTTTAGCAATTGAGTAGTAGCAAGTTTATTCACAAGCTCATATAAACACATGATCAGATAAACATGAATAATGAATAGCATAAACAGTAATTATTAGTGAGCATCTTTATTATCAGTATCATCAGTGTTCATCATCTATTCCATAAGGGTCCAAGGCCGCTCGTGACCGTGAGCACGGCTGTTATAATAGTTTTACACTCTGTAGAGGTTGTACACTTTTATTGTAAGTCATGATTTACCCTTTCGTCCGAGATGATCAGCCTCTTGACCCACTACCTAGAAAGGTCGACAGGGTTCACTATAAAGCCTTTCAAAGGTTCGTCTAACAAGTCAGGGCCACTAGGTTTCCCCATCAATAAGCATGAACTCCCCTTCAAGGAGTGATTGACAAAAGACCAAGAAATCAAAATACACTCAACCTGACAGACAAAGGTCATACCTGTCGGAGCTCCTCTTGCGACATAAAGGTAACCACTAACAAGCTAGAAAAGGTCCTCATACTTGACTAAAACCAGAGCCATGTAGCCCTCACAGTTGTACTGTAAGTCTCGGATGTTCGCTTAAAGATAAGTCCTTAGGAAAAGGAATTTAAAGCATTTAGAAAATAGCTAAACACTCCAACCCCCTTTTTCGAAGTTGCTAAAAAGCATCTTTTAGTGTTTATTGCATATTCTATTAGTCAAGTTACAAGATCATGGTCTTTAATTGAGCACTAGCATCATACTACCCAATGCAATACCCTATAGTTATCAAGGTACAAGATAACAAAGTACTAGGCAATCCTTAGTGGTAATCAAGGTAGACATATGCAGTATGATAAGTGATTAATGGTGAATAGATAACAAAGATAATCCCATGCTATACTTGTCTTAAAACTCTGATCCTTCTTCTAGTCCAAACCTTCAATGGGACTCCTTCTTGATCAACACGTAAAGCTTACCGACTAGACATGATCATAAAGCACCACACAAGCATCCATGTAATCATACATGAAGCAAACAATAGATCTAAATTAGATCAGTACACCAAACATATGAAGCAACAAGTAAAAATATTTTAAAGATGTTCTACACGTTACTACGAACACACGGATGCGAAAAACACGCTAATCGGAGCTATAACGAAGATGTTATGAATTAAACAAGATTTTCTTTAATAAAATAATAGATTAAATCTAACATCAAATTTCAAAAGTTGAAAACAAGTTTAACAGTAGGATAAACATGTAGATTACGCAATTACGAATACGACGCACCTTGAACGGGTCAAATCGGAATTAAAACGAAGAAGTTATTGCCAAAACAAGATCAGTGGCACATCTGTAAATAGCTGAAAATTGATTTTAGAATTTAAATTAATAAAATCGGAGTTTAAACTAAGCCAGGGGCGACGGGCATGATAAAGAAGAAGTATAGGGGTTCTTTAGAAAAAGTGCAGGGACGACGGGTTGGATAATAAAAAAGCAGGGGGCTCTTTTGCAAAACGTCCACCGAACCGGTATCGGTGATTATCGACTGTTGGATTAAGATCTAACGGTCCAAAATAGATCGAGGAGGGATGGCTACCGGCGGCGAGCAGAACGGCGGTGGCGCCATGGCCGTGTATGGGAAACTCGCCGGCGATCTTGAAGAAGGGCCTACGAGCCACGGATTCACGAGCCGAAGACACCAGAGAGAGAGAGAGAGAGGAAGGAACGACTATCTCGGCTAGGTAACTTACCAAGGCGCGGTGCGACGGAGGGTGGCGCGGTGCACGGCGAAGCGGCTGTGATAGCGACGGCGCTAGGGTTTGCGTGGCGTGGCATCTCGGCGAGGCGGCTGTGGCTCGGGAACTCGGGATAGGAGGCGGCTCGATCGGCGGCTGCTATTTATGGCCGGGAAGCAACGTAAGGCAAGGAATGAGGCGTGGGCGACGCGGAGTCGGACGGCGACAGAGAGTCCGGCTCAGTCTCGCGCGGGGAAGAAAGAGTTGGCATGTGGGCCCGCTTGGTCAATGGTAGAGAGAGAGAAGAGAGGGAGGAGGGAAACAGCGTGCGGGCCGTGCGATGCTTGGCCACGGAGAGATGGGCTAGCTCGACAGAGAGAGCAGGTGGGCTGCGGGACGAAGGGAGCGGGCCGCGCGGGAGAGAAACAGGTCGGGCCGGTTGGCTGGGCCCGAAAGGGGAGGAGATGACAATTTTTTTTTTTCAAATCCATTTCAAAACCAAATTTCAAAAGCATTTGAAATTATTTTGAATTTTGAACAAAACCACTCATGACAAAAATAAGTATGCATCAGCATGAATGCACAAAAATGTTGCTAAATTCCTTTGATAAATTTTAATTCAATGAAAACCTCCATGAACCAACTAGGATCCGTTTAGGTAGTTGGAATGTAGGGTCACTTACAGGTAAGTTAAGAGAATTAGTTGATACCGCGACTAGGAGGTGTGTAAATATATTTTGCGTTCAAGAGACTAAATGGAAGGGTCAGAAGGCGAAGGAGGTGGACAATACAAGTTTCAAGCTTTGGTACACAGGGACAGTCGCGAATAGAAATGGAGTAGAAGTTTTGATTGATAAGAGCCTCAAGAATGGTGTGGTGGGAGTGAGAAGCCAAGAAGATAGGATTATCTTAGTCAAGCTTGTCGTTGATGATATGGTCTTGAACGTAATTAGTGCGTATGCCCCCAAGTAGGCCTCGACGAGAGTGCTAAGAGACAGTTCTAGAAAGACTTAGATGGCCTGGTTAGAGCTATACCTAGTAGTGAGAAGCTTTTTATAGGAAGAGATCTTAATGGACATGTAGGTACTACAAGCGCAGGTTTTGAGGCAATTCATGGAGGTTTTGGGTATGGTAGTAGGAATCAGGAGGGGGTGGAAGTTTTGGACTTCACGGTAGCTTTTGACCTGATGATAGCCAACACTTTCTTTAGAAAGAGAGAATCTCATCTAGTGACCTTCAGTAGCGGAACAACACTGTAGCCAGATTGACTTTGTCCTCGCAAGAAGAAAGGACAAACGAGCATGCTTGGATTGCAAGGTGATACCAGGGGAGTGTGTTGTTTCTCAACATAAGCTTTTGGTGGTAGATTTTCGTTTTCAGGTGCGTGCCCGTAAGAATAAACAAGCTAAGATTGAAAGAACGAAGTGGTGGAAACTGAAAGGGGAGACATCAGAGGTATTCAGGGAAAGGGTTATCAAAGAGGGCTCTTGGAAGAAAGAAGACGACATAAACAACATATGGGAGAAGATGGCAACCAACATTCGGAAGGTGGTCTCAGAGGTGTGTGGAGTAACCAAAGGAAATGGAGGCGAGGCTAAAGATACTTGGTGGTGGAACGAGGAAGTCCAAAGGGCTATTAAGGAGAAGAAAGAATGCTATAGACGCTTGTACCATGACAGGAGTGTGGACAACATAGAGAAGTACAAGGTGACAAAAGAAGACTGCAAAGCGAGCTGTAAGTGTGGCAAAGGGTAGAGCGTACGAGGATCTTTACCAACATTTGAGTACGAAAGAAGGAGAGAAAGACATTTATAGGATGGCTAGGGTTCGTGAGAGAAAGACACGAGACTTCAACTAAGTTAAGTGCATTAAGGATGAAAGGGAGCATCTCTTGGTGAAGGAGGATGAGATCCGACATCGATGGCAAGAGTATTTTGACAAATTGTTCAATGGTGAGAATATGGACACAACCTTTCAGTTAGATGACTCTTTTGATGACACCAATAGGCGCTTTGTGCGGAGAATCCAAGAATCTGAGGTCAGAGAGGCGTTGAAAAGGATGAAAGGAGGTAAGACGATGGGACCGGATGGTATCCCAATCGAGGTGTGGAGATGCCTCGGGGACATAGCTATAGTATGGCTAACCAAGCTGTTCAACCATATTTTTCGATCGAACAAGATGCCTGATGAGTGGAGGAGAAGTATATTAGTACCGATCTACAAGAATAAAGGGGATATTCAAAGTTGTACTAATTACCGGAGAATTAAGTTGATGAGCCATACTATGAAGCTATGGGAGAGAGTTATCGAGCATCGCTTGAGAGCAATAACGCGGGTCTCTATGAACCAATTTGGTTTCATGCCCGGAAGGTCAATCATGGAAGCCATTTTCTTAATAAGACAAGTTATGGAGCGGTATAGGGAGAAGAAGAATGACCTACATATGGTTTTTATTGACTTGGAGAAGGCTTATGATAAAATACCAAGGAATATTATGTGGTGGGCTTTGGACAATTATAAAGTCCCAACAAAGTACGCCGGGCTCATTAAGGACATGTACAACAATGTTGTGACTAGAGTTCGAACAAGTGATGGAGACACGTATGACTTCCCGATTAGGATAGGACTACATCAAGGGTCAGCTTTGAGCCCTTATTTGTTTGCTTTAGTGATGGATGAGGTCACAAAGGACATACAAGGGGACATCCCTTGGTGTATGCTTTTCGCGGACGATGTAGTGCTAGTTGATGAAAGCCGGACAGGAGTGAATCATAAACTGAAGTTATGACGGGAGACTTTGGAGTCCAAAGGTTTTAGACTCAGTAGAACTAAAACTGAGTATATGAGATGTGACTTTGGCATTACTACTCGGGAGGAGGAAGATGTTAGTTTGGAAGGTCAAGTACTTCCTGCCTAGGAAGAATACCTTTCGATATTTATGATCAATGCTACAGAGGGACGGGGATATTGATGAAGATGTTAGCCATAAAATGAAAGCAGGGTGGATGAAGTGGCGGCAAGCGTTTGGTGTCCTATGTGACAAAAGGGTACCACAGAAGCTAAAAGAGAAGTTTTATAGGACGGCGATTAGACCTGCTATGTTGTATGGTGCAGAATGTTGGCCTACGAAAAGACGACATGTTCAACAGCTAAGTGTCGTGGAAATACGTATGTTGCGTTGGATTTGCGGTCATACAAGAAGGGATCGAGTTCGGAACGAGGATATACGTGATAGATTAGGGGTAGCGCCAATTGAAGAAAAGCTTGTCCAACACCGGTTGAGATGGTTTGAACATGTCCAACGGAGACCGCTAGAGTCACCGGTGCATAATGGAATCCTAAGCCACGATAGTAACGCGAAGAGAGACAGAGAAAGACCAAATTGACTTGGGTAGAGGCAATAAAAGAAGACTTGAAATGATAGAATATACCAAAAAAATTAGCCTTAGATAGGAGTGCTTGGAAGACAGCTTATTCACGTGCCTGAACCTTGATTGCTTCTGATGGGTTTCAACTCTAGCCTACCCTAACTTGTTTGGGACTTAAAGGCTTTGTTATTGTTGTTGTTGTTGAAAATTATTATTTTCCCTATATTTCGTGAGCACAAAAATTCAAAATTAACTTAATTTACATCTATTTAAAAAGGAGCAAATTTTAGGGTGTTACAAAGATGCAATGTAGTACAGGATGGTCATTTTGGGTTCAGTTTACTGAGGAAGTAGAAAAAAAAACTAATTTGAGAAACCCCGAATGTACCATGATGCATTTGTCAACAGTTAATCTCGTATGTTGTCATGTTGCTATCGACTGATGTATTTTTTCGAAAAAGGACCATCGCAGCATGTAAGCATTAAGAACACCCAATAATTAACACTTGCAGGTTCAGGTTACTTGCTGCATATATGCAAATTATACTACCATTGACACATTCAGTGTCAGTGCACCAGTTTGTACATTTTTTCACAGACATGCATATTATCCTGGTACTAATACTTAAGTATTTGCAATAGTTCCTATTTGTTTATTCTTCCCTTCCATTGAAAAATACCTGGTATTTATTGCGGTATCTTGCAACTGCAGTAGCATGAGATAAGAGAATGTTATGAACAACAATTTAAGGTTCTGTTGATGAGTTCCCACCGGCAGTGCATTGTGTGCACCGGTTAGGGGGGTTAATCCCTTTATCATAACCAAGGAATGCTACTATCCTTGGTTCATTTAATGTGAACCAGTTCTTGACTCAGATCGCCAAAAGTCTTGAAACAAAAATCGGCATAGTCAACGAATTTGTCCCTGCAGAACATATATCCAGAAAAAGCCCAGCCTCAGTACAGATTATGATAAGACCAAATGAAATGTATATCTAAAAAGAACAATATCACTTCATAGTTCACACTTGTCCATGTGGGTGAAAATACTAAGCCATCATCAAATTGGCCTAGATATTGATGCAAAATTTCAAAATTAAACCACTATCCCACCTTCTAATAATTGCAACAGGATAAGTGGCAATTTTTCCAGTACAAGTTCATACAACAATGAAGCCTTGAGTCTCAACTATAAAGAAACTTGACCGGTTGGGGAAAGACCGCCCCCATGGCTCTACACTAAGAAGAAACCTCAGCGAAACTGGGCGAAAAAACCCTGTACCCCAGCCTCACCCTATAGCATCATAACCTGGGCCAGCAACCACTGCTATTACCCCAGGTAGGACTGCACCGTTACCACAAACCAGTGCCCAGCCACTATTTTTTTGGGGAGGAAGAACGAGTTTTTTTTAAGGCAGGCCTGGTGTAGTGGTGAGAGCTGTCTCACCGAGTCACCAGGTTGTCAGTTCGAATCAGCCTCTCCACAGATTTTGCGGGGGAAAGGCTTGCCTCGGTTTATCCCTTCCCCAGACCCCACTCATGTGGGAGCCTCCGGCACTGGGTCTGCTCTAGAATGAGTTTTTTTGGAGCTGCGAGTTGGGCCAGCTGGCTGATACTAATACTCGGTAACCAACCACCTCACTACTAGTGCGTTTGCTTCAGTCTCAACTATGTGTATAGAATGTATCAAGTTCATATTGTACAAGACTCTTCACATATTTCAACATGAAGTAACAAAGACAAGAAGGCCGTTTCCCACTGACACAATTTTTGGGCCTAACCAGCCTTGGTACTTTTTCTGAAGTGCAAGCGGAAGATCATAGTGGTTAAGGTTGGCATAAGGAGTAAGACCTGCTCAGTTTTGAAGGGAACATTCAGAGAGGAACATAATGTTTCTGTAAAATCTTCAACTGGACTTTCGTGTCTGAATCATTACCTTGCTTAATCATGTAGTCTATAAGATTGTTGTAATACTGTACTCCTTCTTCATTAACTTTCCCTTCGCCATCTAGAGGCACATCAATGGATCTAATAAACAACTGGTGACTCATACAACTCAATAGTGAGCATGCATGGTGTTAGTAGAGTTATGCACCTGGAAAGATCCTGGACCAGGAGATTGAAAACCGGTATGCATCAAAATTTAGGCTTTTCATGAGATCAACATCTTCCTGTACAAGGATAAAGAAGCTAAATATCAGACTAAAAGAAATAGTTCCTAATTTCTAAATGAAGAATTAATTCTTGGCGTGAGATGTTTCTTGCCAGCTCTCTCGAGATTTCCGAAAATCATATACTCTAAGGCAGTTTGCTATGCAACAAGCCTAGCTTATGCCAAATCAACTTTTAGCTTTGCTCAGAGGCCAACACTATTTTAAGATTGTTTGTTCCCAGATTTGAGTTCACTTGGGACACTCTTTTGTTTCTTGCACATTTGTTCATGTTAGAATAAAAATTGATTGCTACTACATAAATGAAAGCATCTTCATGGCCAGTAAAATAACAATCATGCTCTGATCCATCAATCAACGGAAAGATTAAGCAATAAATTTAAAACAGATGTGGGGTCACGCACCTTGTAACGATGATATTCATCTGTTGTAACATCTGCGTTCCCGTCTTCAGCAATCTTTCCTGTTCATTACAAACACACGTTAGGCGTTATCATCCATGAATTATTTTATAAGCTAAGCACAAGTCAGCGGATTTCATTTCCCATCCCTCAACTTGAGATTTGAGCACAGCTCTCAGCTCTTGCATCCTCACTACTCCCTGAGCCAAACGGCAATGCCCACATATCCAACCTCGGTAAGTTTCTAGTCATGCGAAGTCATCAGCTAGTGTGCGTTGCAAATATCAGGAAATGATTACATGGGAATCACTGCGCCAAGCATCCAAAGAAGGATCTGCCTTACTACTAGCAACAGTAGCTGCGACGACGGCGATGCGTTACAGGGGGTGTGGACGAAGGGATCCCAGATGCAGGGCCCGCAGCCGCCGGACGTCGCGGCGCCCTCGACCTGGTACGCGGACGTCGCCGTCCCGAAGATGAACCCCTTGGGGAACGCGTCGCGGCTCAGCCCTCCCGTGGACGCGAAGCCCACGGCTGCCGAGCGGCACGACGGCCAGGGCCAGCAGCAGCAGCTGGATGCAGCGGCAATGCGTTGCCCGCGTAGCCGCAGCAGGCCCCGCGGCGCCGCCCATCCCAGCGAGCTAGAGGCTAGAGCAGCACGGTAGTTTCAGCTCAAGCGCGTGCGTGCGCCTCCTTCACTCACTCAACAAGTCAACAGGTCGCAGACGCAGACGCAGTCGGTCAATCTGGTCGGCGTCGGGTCATCTCTCAGTCATCAGTCTGTTCGTTTGGACCGAAACAATCGTGGATTACTACGAAGGTGTGTGAGAAAAACAGTGTTCTAACTTTTAATCCATCGTCGTTTACGACCGAGGATTACTACGAAGGTGTGTGAGAAAAACAGTGTTCTGACTTTTAATCCATCGTCGTTTACGACCGAGCGGCAGTCGGGCACGTGACGGGGACTTCCAGCCTCCTGTTCGTTTAGCTGGTTCATATTATTACTGGTTTGTTTACGCGAGAGAGAAATACTGTTGCTGACTAATTTATATAAATAGTAACCATATGAGGGGGCTAGCCGATCAGGACGGTGCCACCCGGCCTAGCGGGTTGCGGGCTTGGCGAGCGAGAGCGAGGAGAGCCGGCGCGCTGCTGATGATTGGAGCGGGAGGCGTGCCGCGTGCGTCGCGGAGGGTTTATGGCGGCAGCTCAGGCCTGTCGGCGTGGCCGCGGGGTAGCCGGGTAGGTGCTATCTGGGTTGGTGGTCCACTGGTCCGTGGAGGCGTGGACCCGACACCAGCGTGGCGGTCGCACACTTCGCGGCCCGCGGTTCACGGCTATGTCCTCGGCTCTGTGAGCAGTGATGCACGGTAGCCTCGTACCGTGCCGGGCGGTCTTGCTAACCATCACTCACTCGTTGAGTCGTTGCTGTCTGAAAGGACCGAACGAACAATCCGTGAGCTGTGACGCACTACAGAACGTACGGTAGTGGATCTGAGCTGCTCCGCACTCAGCAGTAAACGAAGAAACGCGACGGTGTTCACCAGGACCAGGAGCAGTGGAGCACTGAGACGCATGTCTGCTAAAGTGCTAATGGTCAACGGTGAAACATTTGAAGCGAGTGTCGTCCTCATTTTTTGAAGGGATAAACCAGACTGGATTCAGTCTGAACAGGTCGAGCAGATGAATGACTCGACTTCGTCAAGCCGATGCTTGCAGCTTGCGTGTGATGTGGTTTCAACCGGGCGGCACATGCGTGTTCCCAGCTTTCCCCCTCCTACAGATTACAGGGTGGGATCGAGCTGGTTAACACCTGAACCCCTTTAAATCATCCTTCATACACAAAATAAAATACAGGCACGTATCAACACCAAGTGGTACAAATTTTGCTAGCAAGCTTTGCAACAATGCCTTACATACATATAGTTACATGTCAGCGCTGCGACGTCGACGACAAGCTGAACCTCCGTGTGACCCGACGTCGTTACCTGCCGGCGGACAGTTCGATGGCGTCCTGGTTGTAGACGGAGTCCTCGCCCCAGTCGAACCGCTGCTGCATCCGCTCGTAGTCCTGCCTCCTCGTCACCTCCACCTGCTGCCACTCCTCCCACCGCTCGGCGAGGCCCTCACCTTCCAGCATCCGGACCACCTCGGACATGGTGGGGCGGTCCTCGGGCGAAGCCTGCGTGCAGAGCAGCGCGATCTGGATCATCATCTCCACCTCCTGCCCGTTGTAATTGTTGTTCAGGTTGCGGTCAATGATGGCGTCGAGATGCCCTTCCCTTTGCAGCTTCTTGACCTGCAAATTTTGCAGCAAGGTCACAAGTGTTTTGCGAAGAGAAATTTCATGCGATGTGTATGCTTGCATCAAAAAACTGAAAGCTCTTCGTGCACAGAAGCGGTTCAGACAACAGCTACGAGGGATCAGTTGTAGAAGAGATAGGAATCGGCTTACATGATCAAGTAACAACACATCATCTTCTTCCTCCAGACGTGAAAAGTCGATGGCACGCTGACCAGTAACTAGCTCGAGAAGCATTATGCCATAACCAAAAACATCGGTTCTCTCGGATGACTTCCCAGTGGACAAATACTCGGGGGCAATGTGACCCATGGTTCCACGAACCTGAGTAGTCACGGATGTCTTCTGTACATCCACCAGCTTGGCCAAGCCGAAATCACCAACAACTGGTTCAAAACCTTCATCAAGCAAGACATTGGCAGCCTTGACGTCACGATGTATAATCTTAGGATTGCAGTGTTCGTGCAAATACTCCAGTCCACGAGCTGTGCCTATAGCCACTCGCTTCCTTGCAGACCAATCTAATATTGGCTCCCCAGGTTTAAATTCTGAATCGTTGACATGATAAGCACGTATTAGATGACGACGTATTACAGCAAAATCATCACTATGAAAGGGAAATAGTATAGAAGTGGTGAAAGATTTGTTTGTTAAAAATAAAAAGTGTCAAAGTTTTCCACTCATTGGATGTATATACAGTGAAATATAAATTAATGCAACTAGCTATCCATACATGGTAACATGGTGTAGCTATGATGTAATGTACTAGAAATAGTAGACTATGACCTGTTCAATCAGCAAAATGGAACAGTTCTGATACCAAAGAGGTTCCTACTGAAAAACACTTTACATATCCTCAACAAAAAGATGCAAATCTCTGCTAAGTGCTAACCCACTCTGTAGGTTAACTGGATGACAAATCTCAAGCATTACTAGGTGACAAATTGCTGTACGCACTCTGTAGACCAGATCTCACCTGCCTGGTAAATTTAGATCATTTTAACACCGTATTACAAACCAATCGTGCAGAATTACATCTAACTTAGAGCATATGAAACATGAATTTTCAACAAAGAGTTACCTAAAGGGGCAACTGAACTCACTATGCTAGCTTCTAAATACATGAGTTGCATAATCTGTAAGCACACTCATGGTCTAAGTAACTTCATAGAGTAGTAACAGTACAGAACTAAATGCAATGAAACAAGTGATTAGCTAGTTAAGACTTAAAAAAGAGAGTACCTCGCAGACGGTAGGCCACACTAAGATTCTGCATGAAAGGATAAACAAGTAGGCGCTCTGTTTGTGTTGTGCAGAAACCAATCAATCTTAAAAGATTCCGGTGAACTGCAACACTGATCAGCTCAACCTCGCGCAAGAAAGCAGCCTCTCCACCAGGACTCTCATAATCAGTTAAGCGTTTTACAGCAATCTTAGTGCCATCTGGAAGTGCTCCTTTATATACTTTCCCAAAACCCCCTTGTCCAAGAACATTTTTCTCACTGAAATTATCAGTTGCAAGTTGCAATTCTCGCCATGCAAATCTTTTCAACTGGCCAAATGCAATTCTACGATCATCTTCACCTGGGGAGCATAAATTATCCGTTCAGTTAGTTCAATGCAAATCTTTTGAAATGTGGAATTTGAAAGATTGGCAATGTCTTAGGAACACATCTAAATATGCTAGTTTCTAGTGTGCCATCATCAGTGTTAAACTGGTACAGTAAGCAGAATATGCCACTCCCACTGGCATACATAGGCCAGTTCTGGAAACCATGGTTTTAATTAATCATTATACCTAATTCTACGTGATAGATTAGGAGTAGCACCAATTGAAGAAAAGCCTGTCCAACACCGGTTGAGATGGTTTGGACATGTCCAACGGAGACCTCCAGAGGCACCGGTGCGTAGTGGAATCCTAAGCCAGGATAGTAACGTGAAGAGAGGCAGAGGAAGACCGAAGTTGACTTGGGTAGAGGCAATAAAAGAAGACTTGAAAGGATGGAATATACCCAAAGACTTAGCCTTAGATAGGAGTGCTTGGAAAACAGCTATTCACGTGCCTGAACCTTGATTGCTTCTGCTGGGTTTCAACTCTAGCCTACCCCAACTTGTTTGGGACTTAACGGCTTTGTTGTTGTTGTTGTAGTAGAGAGAACTTAGTTTCAGTGCTCTACATATCAGCTTTAACCTATTGGTTCCATTTCTTTGTTTAATACGTGATGAAATTATGCGGATTGCAGTATTTTTTTTAGCTAATGAACAAGTTTAGCTGCAGCAAGGTGATGATATAAAGTGCAGCTTATTCACTACCTGATACATCCACAAATACTTCACGTAGATGGCTTTTCCTCCTTCCATTACAGATAATGAATATAGCCCCTATGATTAGAAACCCCATCAGACCTCCAACTGTTCCAAGCACAATGCCTATTGTCGAACCACGGGATGAACCTATAAAAAAAGCGACAATATTATCAGATGCTTCTAATTATTTGACAAACGTCCAATAGGGAGTCTGTCCCCTGTGCTATTTGACAAATGTACAATAAAGAACACAAAAATGCATGGCTTGTTACCTTGGTAAGACATACTTGAGGCACACGGATGGAGGAAGTTTGCTCCACAGGTCAAGTTATTACCTGAAAAACTGTGAAGTAAATAAACCTTTGTTAGCTCTCAAAATTAGCACGCATGGACACCACATAAATTTTATAATGATCACTTATTCCACAGTACTTGTAACGTGCAACTTGAAACAGCTGGGGAGGTATTTGGCCAGTGAGTTTATTGTAAGCCAGCCGACTGCCATCATATGAAGAAAAAAGTTGGTATAAGACAGTCTTGTGAGAAAAACTATCATTTGAGTGCTAAACCTTACATGTCTGTCAAGCTTGAGATGCTTGCTAGCGTATCAGGAATAGAGCCATTGAGATTGTTTTGACTTAGTATCCTTGTTAAGAAACAGAAACAGAAAACAGGAATGTCAAGTCATTGAATGTCCATAAAACAAATGAATAAGGATTCTAGTACATACAGAAGCTGGAGCTTTGAAAGCCTGCCAAGAGAAGCCGGTATTGGCCCAACCAACAGGTTGTCTTCCAAATCTAAGCTTGTCAACCGAGAGAGGTTGCCAAACTGCTCTGGTATGCCACCAGTGATGTTGTTACCAGGCAATGACCTGCAGTATCATACATTACATTGATCAACAAAACAGGGAATTCATGGCGACATGACATGATATAACAACAAAGCCATCATTTCATCTAGCAAGCCAAAACACACACACTAATACTTAGTTACTTTTAGATGCTAGTTAGTTTGCAAAGAATCGTAAGCACAGTAGTCAGTAGCAATTACATCACAGCCACTACCTAAAATATTTAGGTGCATCATCAATCTAGAAGAGTGCACTTACAGAACATTTAAATAATCCAGATCTCCGATTCTTGGTGACAGAACTCCAGTAAACCCCATAGAAGCCAATGTTCTGCAGGAGGGTATCAGGAAGGTAAACTCAGAAAAAAATGGAGATCCTATCATATAGATATAGCTCAATGATGAGTTTAGCACACCAACATATTGCAGGTTGAACTGCAACCGCATCAAAGTTAATAATTACATGCTAAAGTAAATGCCTCTCAACTGATATTTGGAGCTGTTAGAGACCTTAAGAGCTTATCGTAATGAATGTAGGAAATGTAATACCAAATAAATTTAGCTCCGAGCTAAGTGATCTATTCGTCAACTAATCGAAGTACAAAAGTTAAAAATAAGAGTGCAGAGAAACAGAATGCTGCAACTTACACTTGCACAACATTGTTGTTATTGTCACAAATAACAGAATTCCAAGTGCAAGGGTTAACTTGATTTTGGTTCCAGTCAGAAAGCTGATTGCCAGTAGCATTTAGTTTCAGCTTCATATCGTACAAAGCATCACCTAAGTTAACAAAAGATTCTTTGTTACTTGCAAGAGCTTGAAAATTATGTGTTGATAGTGAAAGTGAACTAAAAAAAGTGAAATACACATATGATAGTCATGTGAGTAACCTTGACGATCAGATGCTGAGAATGGGAGCAGAGATGCTATAACTAGAATAATGTTGAGCAGCTCCATTTTTCTTCTATTATTACTGTAGCATCAGAGGAGTTCCTTGGAAAGCTTGCCTGACCAGAAAACATGCAGAAACTGATCATGTTAGTGGTCCGTGCCTTATCTGGTTAATCAACAAAATCAGTTCATAGTGGAATACAGAGCACACAATAAACGAAGAAGTAAGGCACAGACATGGCAAGTTGTCAAATACAATGTTATGCACTTGTTTGAACTGAAAGAAAATTAGTATCCACATCTGATCAGCATATCATGGAAAATGGAACAAGTTGTGCAGAAATGCAAGTGTTGTCCTGAACTCAGACCAGAGCATACATCTGTTTAAGAAATTAGCCAAAACAGATTCTATATCAGTAAAAGAAGCATAGTTTATTTCTAAATAAGATACTAGTACAGCACAAAAAAGAAATATGCATCCATTTCAGGTACTGACCAAGAGAAGAGCCCCCCCTCAGTTCCCCAGTCTAACCCAACCAACCAGTTAGCTAGCCCTGAGGTGGTCCCAAAATCTCTGGAGTCAACCCTGAATTCCCAATTTTCAACATATTAGAACCCGAGTTTTGATATTAAGGCACGGGCATAGAAAGATGCCAAAATGATATTGGAAAAGTTCATTTCATGAGAACCCCATGTATTCATCTCAATCTACATGTGTTGAAGTGGAATTAAACTAAGTTCCATTCTAATCCACTCCAACGCATATGGATTGAAGTGGATACACATGCATCAAAGGCCTAAAGAATTAATCAGAATCGAATTGAACGTTTCCAGATACTAGTGCATAGAATCCCAGCCAAAGCAAGCAAGCGCGCACACACAGAGAGGCAGAGAGCTAGCTCAATTCGGGAGAAACAAGGGAAGCGAGTTAAAAGTGGGCAAGAGCTCCAATTACTTTATTAGCGATTCGTTACAGAGCTGAGAGCTTCGAGAACGACGGAGCGAGAAAACACTCACACGCAGAGAGAGACCAGGGCTCGCTCGCTCGCCCGCCCGCGCCGCGGCTCCGTCCGCGACCGCGAGATTCGGCGGTTCACGCCGCCTCCCTCATCATCATCATCTTCTGCTCTGCTCCACCTCCACCACCACCGCGGCCGCCGCGCGTGTGAAGGCGTAGGTGGTGGACGACTCGGCCGGTTGACTCCAGGCGCCGGAATTGACCCCTGATGCTGTTCCGAAACGGGAGCCCATCGCTTTTTTGGCAGGCGCGCGCGATTCGGCAGGTAGCACTCCAGTAACTGTGTCGGGTGGGTGGGTGGATCTTTCGAACCTCCCTTTCTCGAGTCCCTTCGGATAAGGTGGAAATGGACTTTGGCGGATGCTGCTGCGATCGCTTGCTTCTTCTTCTTCTTTTTTTTTTTTTCTTTTCTTTTGCTGATGACGCGTCTGTCCGGCTCCACGGATTGGCCGAACGGGAGAGACGAGGCGGACGCCATCACGGCTTCGGTGCACGGACTGCTGTCCGCATGTAGTTTTCGTGTTCGGTCGGGCGCATAACCTTTTTGTCTGGTCTGTATACTCTCTTTCGTGCTGCCAAGCGGGTGACGATAACAGCACGCCCAATAAAACTTGGGCTATACGCAAGTCATTACCAGACAAGTTTACAGCATGGTCACTTGCTCGTATGCGACCGTAGATTATAAACTGGAATATTTTTTTTTACACCAAACCAGCCAGCAGTAAATAATCCATGATCGTTTACGGCCTGGCGAACGGGCTGCCAGTTCATGTAATCGGCTTGTTCACTGGTTGGTTTTTGTGCTGATAAGCCCGGCTGGTACTGGTTTGGTGTGAAAGTAAAACACTGTTGGTTAGTTGATAAGCTCTGACTGAAACCAACAAACGAACAGACTGAATACCTGGTCTCTTTCTTTTTAGTATAAATAGTATTTTATATTTATACTGGATCACTTACCAGTGTCGCACGTCAATTTATACTGGATCACTTACCGGTGTCGCACGTCAATTCCCATAGTCTGCAAAAGTGAAAGAAGAGCATTGGTTTATGTGATGAGCTCGGCGGTGGAAGCAGCGCCAAGCTACGCACTCTCTCCTCCATCACATGCACGGTGCTGACGTGGTGGTCGTTTAGCCGATTATTGCATTGCTACATGTAAGTGGTCTCGTGCGTCGTTTAATACAGTGCCACGTAGAATTTTTGCTGACGTGGAGGAAAGAGATAGGAGACAGAGAAAGATATTGTTGTTTTGTGAAACAACCACCTTATGAGCTAAAATTTAGAATTATGAGACAACTATTCTATGCATGAGTTGTTGTCGTCTTGCAACTCATAAATTTACTTTTATTCTATACATAAATTAAGAAATTATAAGTTACTACGAGACAACTTAAAAAACAACCACGGTACATATTGCATATTAAGTCGCCTTAAAATTATTGGTATTGCATGAGACCACCTACGAAACGAGACCGATGTACTCGGCCTAAGGGGTTTTAAGTTTTTAATGATTTGCGGCTGTCGGAGCACCGTCACTTTTTTTTCTCGATCAAAGATAGGATTTTATTGATTACTCATGAAAAAATTATAATTTTGAACACCCAACTGCGTAACGCACTAGAGAACCTGCATTCGCCACGCCGCCGCGGAGTGTGACGTGCATTTCCCGAATGGCGTTAGCTCATGAGCGACCCTATTATGTCCTCTCCTTGTAGACTGGAATTTCACCTCCAGCAATGCTCTACCAAGCTGTTTACATTCCTCTGCTAGATACATGAGTTTGGATCTCTGTTATATGCTTGAGTCTAGCAATCGTCATGCAGTCTGATTCTACAATTACATTACGTCTTATCCCAATCTCCTGCTAGGCTCAAGTCCTCTCTACAAGCCAGAAGTTCGTGGTATTGAAAGGTATTTTTTCAATAAAATCTCTATTTTTAAAAATTAGAATGGATACAAAGAATCTCTTGCACTTTCTCTCAACGTTACATGAGCTGGATGGAATTTTATTGCGGGTTGCCTAAGCCTAACAGGCTAACACAGTCGCCGCAGTCCACCCCGAGCCCAGTGCACACGGACACAGGAACGTGGTACAACTGTACAAGTAATGATGACGACCGATCGTGCCATGGATTTTTGCAGCTCGAACGTGGAACACTCGAGGAAGCGCGTGGCCCGAAAACTAGCGAACGGCAGTTTCCAAGAACCCAGTACGCAGCCAGCGGCGTCGAGGACCGCCGGGCACCGGCCTCCCGCAGTCCGCTTCTCGGTCTCAGCTGCACCGGTACCTTGCCTTGTGCAAGAAAACCGAACCGAGCCTACGCGTCTCGGTAGTGCTGCGGCTGCGGTCCACCGCGCGTCCGCCGCGCGGCCGCGGAGCAGCGGCCGCCGGCCAGCGGGGGTAGTCTGTGACGCCGGCCTGCCCGGCCCGGACGCTGCCAGGCTGACAGATTGTATCAGCCCAGCGCGCCGTGCCGGCCAGACATCAGGCGCGACCGCGCGAGCAGGCCTCCGCCCCTGTCTCGGATCCGAATTTTTTGTTTTTTTTTTTTTTAAGTTTTTCACAAATATACCTATAGAGATATGCTTTTAAAATCTAGACCCCAAGCTTGGTACCGTAGTAATTGACGCCGAGACGACCATAATAATTGACGCCTAGGTCTTGTGCCCACGCTGGCGCCGAGGCAGACGTGGCGCAAACGTGGCAGCTAGCTCGGCGCCATAGATTTTGGCGCCGATATTGGCGCCATAAATCTTAGCGCCGTGCTTGCCTGACATGTGGGGCTTCCTTTTCTTTCTTTCTTCTTCCTCTTCCTCTTTCCTTCTCTCTCGTTCGTGCGACTCCCGAGCCCGCCCGCCGCCGGTGCCGCACCACCACGCCCACGCCCGGTCCTCCACGCCAGCCGCTCCGAGCCTGGCCCGGCAAGCCCCCCAGCGCCCCCCCTCGCCCCCCCCAAGACACTGCGCCCCACCACCTCACCCACACGCCACCACGTCACGCCTGCCTGCATGCCACCCCGCCCACCACCATCCATCCATCCAAGGCGCCAACAGCAGGGGTCGAGATGGCGAACTAGAGGAGGTGAATAGTCTTTTTTAGATTAATCCTTTTGATTGCTTCAACTAAGCATCTCAAATATTTCTTAGATCACCACTTTTATTTTAGACTTTCAAGCCCCACGCTCGGTTTACCTATAAAAGACGGCAAGCCCCTATACTAGGGAGAAGTGACCTCTCTTAAAGAACCATTCTTGATACTCACTTGAAATGACTTGATTGATTGATCCAAGTGATTGACTTAATTTGATGAGTAACCTTAAATTCTCTTTTAAGTCCTTTTATTTTTACTAAATGATCTTTTAATAATCACTAGAACTTAAACTTCAACTTCATCTTTAGTTTGATCTTGATCTTCTAATTTAAGTACCAAATGTGTGCCAAGTACACTCCACACTCAAATGGCCTTATACTCTTTGCTTGTCATGCTTCTAGATCAATTCAAAACCAAACTTAGATACCTTAAACACTTGTAAACATATTTTCAACTTGAGGACCTTTCAATCAAAGTGACTCTTGATCAATCCAATAATTATCACTTTTGTGATAAATTTTGTACCATTCAAATAGAAATGTATATCTCCCAATATACAGACCCAAATACTACAAAATTTTCTGCAAATGTGCTTCACTAAGTTATTTAGCAGCTGTAAAACTTTGAGCTTCATTTGACTTGTAGATTAATATCTGTCGGTGCGGGACCCACAAGATACCCCGCAGGGAGGAGAGAAGATCTAGTCTAACTAGGATTCTCCCCATGTAATCTTAGTAGTAGTATTATCCTGTAATCCTACTAAGAACTCTCATTATAAACTGATTAGGATTCTGACCTCCTGACTATATAAAGGAGGGCAGGGTTCCTAAAGATAGGAGATCACGATTTTCTACAACACAATTCATACAACGCAAGGGCTAACGCCGGCTGAACGTAGGGCTATTACTCGATCAACGATTGAGGGCCCAAACCAGGATAAATCGACCGTCTCTTTCGTTCACCGTCGAGTTCCGCATACGCTGAAGCCCGAACAATACTGCCCCGGGGACCCCTGTGGCAGGCTATCAGTAGTAAAACATCGACAGCTGGCGCGCCAGGTAGGGGCTTTCGGCGAATTTGCATCCGAGAGCTCGATGGACCTCAACAACATGATCTTCTCGACGGGATCAACTTTCATCTTTGGCTCATGGATCTGCGAGGCAGACGACAATGGCAAGCTCCAAAGCCATCTCCTCGAAGATTCGAAACACCATGAAGACTATTCTATTCTGACGACTATGACGGACCAAATCTCAGGAAGATTCGCGCAACTCATGGTGTCCGATTCAACTCAGGTTTCGCGGCTTTACGCATCTGACTCGAATTCAAGCTCCGCTTCCGAGACAGAGTCTTATCCGAGTTCTTTCAAAAAACCGAGTTCTTTTCTGATGGGACTCCAAAACGCGGCCTCAGCATATCAAGAAAACAACTCGGAGAACACTCAGAATCTTTTCAATAAGTCAGGTCTTTTTCCGTTCGGACTCCACAACATGGCAAAGGCTTATCAGGCACGGCTCGAAGGATCCCTCGATCCGGTGCTCAAAATGCCACTAAAAGGAGCTCAGGAAGGTCTCGTATTGACTATAACATCTCAAGATTGCATCGTCCACTGGCCGGGCTCTGTTCCTGAGGATAGCAGTACCCGACTGGACGACACGACGACGACAACTATTCTACCTTACCAAGAAGGAGACTCGATCTGTGACCTCGAGGCCTCTACTAAAGTTATCAGCAACTCCGACAGTATGGAAACTAACGCCAATAACATAATAGTTTACGCACGGGAAGTACTCATGGTTCGCCGTCCTCGGTCACCATTGGTCCCCCAGAAGCACCCGATGTTAGGTCATCAGATGAATCAGAATCCAACATATCACCCTTTGCCCAGGGCTACGATGGTGAAACCGAGAATCAGAAACAAGCTAGAGAAAGAAAAAACAAGTTGAAGCAAGGACGCCAACACCGTGCTAGGCAGCGTAGGGAAGCCTGGATCAGATATGAGTCAGAGTTGGCCGAATACGACAGAAGAAAATCACAACGAGAAGTCAAAGAAAGACGCACGGCAAGTATACCCTACGATAAGTTCTGAGAAGCATTAGAAGAACTCAGAGCAACCGCACATCCCGGTGAAAAATATGAACAGCTCCGGGACTTGCTCCGGTCAATAGCCCGAGGACGCATGAAGAAAGAACCCAATCAAGACTACCCGTCAGATCAACGACCCATAGGCAAGAAGATCAAAATCAAAGGAAGTCCGCTTTTGAGAGACTTGGACCAAGTGAAAGTCATAACAGATAAAGTAGGAGGGATCATAGTCAAGGCCACCGAGTTGAACAACCAAGAAAGACCAGGAGTAGGGCGCCAGCCCAGACGGCCTCGCAGAATTA